CGTCGGAGTTTCTGAATGCTCTGGACTAGGTTTTCGTTAAGGCTATCTCAATATTTTGGTGCATTGAGCTTTTATTCTACTCTGACGAGTCCCTCAGCCCCTGCTGCTGAAAAACAGCCCCACAGCACGAGGCTGCTACCACCACACTTTACTGTTGGGATGCTACTCTGCAGGTAATGAGCAGAGCTGGTTTCCTTCAAACATGATGTTTGGAATTGCGGTTCATCAGACCCGAGAATCTTGTTTCTCACACTCTGAGGGTTCTTTAGGTGCTTTTTTTTGCAAATTCCAAGTGTGTTTTCATGTGTCTTGACTGAGGAGAAGATTGAGTTTGGCCACACTGCCATAAAGACCAGATCGGTGGAGTGTTGCAGTGATGTTTGTGCTTCTGTAGGTTTCTCCTGTCTCCACATATGATCATGGAGCTCAACTAGAGTGACCATCAGCTTCTTGGTCACTAGTCTAACCAAAGCCCTTCTCCATTGATTGCTCAGTTTGGCCAGGAGGCCAGCTCTAGGAAGAGTCCTTGTTGTTTCAAACTTCTTCCACTAAGAGCAATGGAGACTACATGCTTCTACGAACCTTCAATGCAGCAGAATTTCCCCAGATGTGTGGCTTGATGCAATCCTGTTTTTGAGCCCTACAGGCAGTTCTTTTGACCTCAGGGCTTGGTTTTTGCTCTGATACGCATTTTCAGCTGTTAGACCTTTATTGAGAAGTGTGTGCCTTTTCAAATCATATTCATTCAATTGAAATTGCCACAGGTTAACTTCACTCGAAGTGTAGTAACATCTACAAGCAATATGAATGCTCCTGAGCTAAATTTCAGCTGTCCCAGATGAATACTTATGCAATGGAATAATTTAAGTTTTTTTTTATTTTTAACAAATTTGCAAAGATGTAAAAAATGTTTTCTTTGTCATTATGGTGTGTGGAGTGTAGATTGATGTGGAAAAAAAGGTCATTTAAAGCATTTTATCATAAGGCAACAACATAACAAAATGTGAAAAAATGAATACTTTCGCAAGGCACTATAACTTTAGTATGGGGTTTGCAGATTGAACAGTGTCAACCCCTTCTGCCCTACTCTGAGCTTTTTGTCTTGCTCCACACACTTCAACTGCATTTACATTTTTATCCATCAATCCAGTATAGCGATTGTCCTCTGGTCTACAAAAAGAGTATAAATCAGGATAGCTTTCATCTGACTGTTGGTCTTTTGAGTCACTTTTAGTTGAGGCCTTGTTGTGGCCCACCTTTTAAGTGAGACAGGACACTCTAGTTTGTAGTTGTTTGTTGTGTTCTTTTAATTTAGCAATACACTGAGCTTGTTCTTGTGCTAAGGATAAAGTAAATTCTCTGTGGCAGCAGATAATGCCTTTTATGTTTTTCTTTCTGATACATGCCCCAAGTACCTTTTTGCATTCTTCATTTGACCATACTTTTTCTGGATCAATAGCAAATTTCTTTGTCAAATCCAATCTGACTGACTCTGACTGACTGACTGTCACTGCTGAGTCCGTGTGCTTTCCTAACAATGATTTGAACTCACTGTCTGTCCATAAAGGAGTGGCTAGTCCATCTTTCTCAGTTGTTGGAATCAGCCTAGCATTCCTTCTCAACATTTTGTAATGTCTTTATACAACAGGACATTTCCAACACCTCCCTGGCAGGCAGAGGATACACTTGTTAACACAGAAAAACTGTTAACCTTCACTGGCAAAGCAGAGGATACACCAATAATGCAGAGGATAACCTCATAATGTATTCACATCATAATGTATTCAACTTTCCCTGGCAACGCAAAGGATAATCAACTTGCTAACACACTGTAATAGTTGTTAACCTTTTCTGACTAAACAGAGAATAAACCTTCTTCCCTGGCAAAGCAGAGGATAACTAGTTTGTTAACCAAATCCTGCAGCTGTTTGTTAACACATCTCTAATAGCATAGAGGATAACTAAATTTACTGGTCTGTATAGTGGTTCTTTGGATAGAGTAACACTCACCAAATCATTGTTGAGCTGAGAAAAGGATATGAAATTCAGTCTGGAACGATGCAAGGAGAGAAGCTCTGGGTCACGACACCAAAACTGTTGGTAACTCAGAAGCGAAGACCAGGAGAATCTTGGGTATCTTCAGCAGGACACTTTATTGAGAACTTGCTTTGTGGCGCTGCAGTCATCAAAAGTCTGACTAAGGCAGGCATACATTGTATTTTATAGTCATTCAGTGGGCAGCTCTTAAAGGTGTCGACCGTACACATAGCCTCAGAAGTGACTACTTAAACAAAACATCTAAAGACAATACAGGAAATCAAGCTTCAGCAAACCTACTCCCCAAATATAACCGTACCTAAATGGTTTAAGCTGCACCTGGCCACAAGAACTAAAGACCTGTAAACTTTCACATGCAGGGCCGTCCTTAGGGGGGTGCAACTGGTGCGGTCGCACCGGGCCCCGCGCTTGAGGGGGCCCCGCGGTGAACGGACCGAGGTCATGCCCCCACGCCAGAAATATCAGATGCAGCCCCGGATGCCAGTTCCTGTCAGAACATTTCTGTTTTGTCTGGTAAACAAACAACTAGTAAGCAAAGTTGTCTAATACAAAAAACCTGTTAAGAGCAAGACTTGTCTGGTACCCAAAATTGTATTAACAGTCTTCTATCAGCCAATAAGTTGACTGAGCAAAGCCAGAGAAGAGCAGAAGCAGGAGACGAAGTGATGATGATTAAAAAAAGGGAGCAAAGTTTATTGGATAATCTTAGTTGAGTATGTTTCAATGCTCAGACTCCGTCTGACCAGCATAAATCCAACAAGTGTTATTATACCACAAGCAATAGGAATGGAAAATGACTGCTTCTCAACAGTGTCCCATGATGTTAAAAACCTTGAAATGGATTTTATCTCTTACTCATGAAGACAAATATACCTTGAAACCACACATCATAAGACTAAACAACAATGGAAAAATAATATAAAACATAATATAATATAAATGTCTAATCAATACATGAAGCAATGAAATGAGTATACAAATTGCTTAAATGATTATATGATTAAATGGAATAATAAAATGATTAAGTGAATTAATGAATGAAGAATAAATGTATATAAAAGAAAGAAAGTAAAACACAACACAAATGCTGTCTTGAAGCAAAACACACACAGGTTGCTACAAAGAATCCTTAGATCCTTCATAATACTAAAATAACACTGAATTAAACACATGTAACCATAAATTCTTATTACTATAATACATGTCCTTTTTCTTGATAAGCAGCTATTCAGTGAATTTTACAAATGTACTTTACAGTGCCCAAAATATGTTTTTTATATTACATTTAGCAAGTAAAATTGATTTATATAGCACATATAAATAGAGCAAAGCTAATCAAAGTGCTGAACAGAATAAAATACATGGCATAGATAATATAAAACAATATAATTAATACTCATAGCTCAAAGGAATAAAGATTTATAAAAATGAATATTAGATTTTTTTGCATTACATTAATGAGAATTTTCATGTTAAATGTGTTAAATTGTCATGGAAAAATGAGCAAAAAATGCTCTTAAAAATAAGATTCACTGTTTTTTTTACACTAAACATTTTGAGGTGATGTGTGAAATCTGAGATTCAATCCGCAGTAACAATCTGATGAATGACTCTGAAACGCCATGGCTTGTGTCTCTTCTGCAGGATTCCAGGATCATCAGTGGAGCGTCTGAAGGTTCATCAGAGCGCTGTGGAGACTCTCGGAATCGCCTGCTACACACAAGGTTAGAAAACCCCAAACGATTACACACAAAACTACTGATGATGCTCCTCTGACTGTGTGTTTGTGTTCAGGAGCTCTCAGCAGTCTCTTCTACCTGGCCTACAACTTTCATAATGACGTGACGGGGGGAATCCTGACCAACACCAACTGTGGAGGTGCGTTTCTGAATGACTGTGTGTCGTGACTCACTCACTGAATGGCATGTTCAGCTGTGCTGATGATTATAATATGTGTGTGTTTAAAGAATAGTTCACCCAAAAATGAAAATGTGCTCACCCTCAGGCCATGCAAGATGTAGATGAGTTTGTTTCTTCATTAGATTTGATAAAATGTAGCATTACATCACTTGCTCACCAATGGATCCTATGCAGTGAATGGGTGCCGTCAGAATGAGAGTCCAAACAGCTGATAAATACATCATGATAATCCACAAGTAATCCACACGACTCCAGACCATCAGTATCTTGTGAAGCCAAAAGATGTGTGTTTGTGAGAAACAAATCCATCAAGACATTTTTAACTTCAAACTGTTGCTCCTGGCTAAAATACGAGTTCATAATCCATAATCCATAACCACTGAAAAAGTAATCTGGTCTGAATCAGGAGAGAAATATGCACAGTTTAAGCACAGTTTACTAGTCAAACTAGTCCAAAATTGTTCTAGACAAACATGTAGGCAACAGGGGATGGACTTTTTCACTAGAGGAAGTGTTATTATGGACTCATATTTTAGCCAGAAGCAACAGTTTGAAGTTAAAAATGTCTTGATGAATGTGTAATATTAAACAGCCAGCTTTTGGCTTCACAAGACACTAAATGGACTGGAGTCATTTGGATTACTTGTGGATTGTTGTGATGTATTTTTCAGCTGTTTGGACTCTCATTCTGACGGCAACCGATTTACTGCAGAGGATTCTTTAGTGAGCAAGTGATGTAATGCTAAATTTCTCCAAATCTGATGAAAAAACAAACACATCTACATCTTGGATGGACTGAGGGTGAGGATATTTTTCTTTTTAATTTCTGTGTGAACTCCTCCTTTAACATGCTGTGTGTGTCCACAGGTGAGAACTGTAACCGTGGGGCAGCGTTAGGGGCTCTTCTCGGGGCCCGGGCGGTGTATCTCGGCTCAGTCGTACCACAGGAGTGGAAGGACGGGCTGGTTGAAGCTCAGGGGCGAATCACTGACATCCTGCAGGAGCTGAACAGATCCACATCAGTCTGATGTTCTTCTGCTTGTGAACTTCCTCCTGCACTGCTGTGATGTTTAGCCCTTCTCTTGACTCTTCATATGTCTTTCTGTCTGCTGTGTTTATTCACACACACACACACACACACACACACACACACACTCAAGCATGTTCTGCTGCCACAGGAAACGGTGCCCACAGATGTGGTTTCCAGCCTGCACTGTGGAAGACTTTCCTCTCGTCTGTATACCTTCAGTCACACTGTGACCTACTTGCATAATTCTCATATTAGAACTTCATCTGTTATAGATTGAGTAAATGTTAATCAGATAGTTCATGCTTTAAAGATTCTTATTAGAATGTGTTTGAGACATAAACTTACAAGCTGATGTATTGCAGAACATGTGATTGCAGAAGTGGCATACTAAACGCTCTTGAGGACACTCATTTCAGAGTTTGAAACAAAAATATATAATATAAATCTAATATATAAATATAATATTTTTCTTTTCTTGTTTTTAACTATTTGATCCTAAATGCTTGCATAAAAACTGGCCATGATTTGAATTGGATAATTTGGTGATATAAATGTGGTGACTTAAGTGTAGTTTTTAGTTTCTAGTTTTATCTAGTTTGTAATTATGTAACTTTTTAAATAATGCATTATGATTTAACTTCATTTTACTGAAGTTATTTTATTAAAGGGGTCCTATTATGCTCTTTTACAAAGTTGATTTTGTTTTGGGGGTGTACTAGAACAGGCTCTCATACTAGGTTCGAAAAACACATTATTTTTCCACATATTTTACATTATTACAACACCTCTCTCCCCAGTCTGGCATGAATGGCTCGAATAGTTCCTGTATCAAATGAAGGCCCGCCTTCTGAAATACGAAATGTGCTGTGATTGGTTAGCTGGGCCAGTGTATGTTGTGATTGGCAGCACTCGGCGCCTGGTCGGGAAAAGCCATGCCCCTTACCATAGCCACCTGCAGCTTCAATGTAAATATTGCATCAAAATCAAATCAATTTGAGCGCGATTTAAACCCGGATGATTGTAATCACTCTAAGTTCGTCTGCCTTGGGAAAGCTAGCGTGTCTCCGACATAGTGATAACACTCTTCTCTAGTGCAGCTCAACCAGGTCTCGTCCCATGCGTCGATATTTGTGATATCACAAATCCCGGAAAATATGCGTTGTAGTCCAAACGAGTCGTACGTTGTAGTTTTTGAAAAGTGATTTCTGTTAAATAAAATATCTCCTTTTGAAGTGGACTTTGCAGATTGTAACTTTGCAGATCTTTTTTATGCTCAAAAAGCAACATTACAGACTAACTAAAGTTGAAAAAGTGAAAAAGCATAATAGGACCCCTTTAAGACACTTAAACAATTGGCCTTTAATTGTGAGTATGATCTTCTGCTTATGCACTAATTCAGCTTATTTGCACATTTTGTGAAGACTTTTTGTGAAGTTTTTGTTGAAGATCATCCATTTCTGTGTACAGATGTGTTGATGATCTGGTTTGAGTTTATCTGTCCTGTTCGCTCACTTCAGGCCCTTCATGAACATACTGTTGTGTTTGTGTCTTGTTTTAATCATATTTATATTTGTCATTTTTAAAATATAAATCAGATGAATCAGTGAGTGTCATTCTCTGTGTCTTACTGTCATTGTATATGTGTTTGCTGCAGCTCTATATCAGAGTACATGAGCTGAATCGTGTTTGTTGGTGTGGATCAGCGCTTGATTTCTGTTTAAACCACACATCTCTCTGTGGTCTCAACAAACGAGATGAGACGCTGAAGTTCACTCGTTTCAGTAGCATGTAAAGCAGCTCATCACACGCAGATCTGAACTAGAGTTTACACTCAAGATGATTTCAAGACGGAAACCACAGGGCTTCTTATAGTTTTAGGTAAATGAAAGAGAGATGCTGTAAACCTGAATGTAGTTATATGCGATATAGATGATTCATTATGCAAACACTACTGTGCTGTCTGAAGGTGAACACTGTTTGAATGTTCACCAATTAAAATCAAAGGAAATTTTATACTTAAAGGAATAGTTCATTCTGTCATCATTTTCTCACTCATGTTTTTCCTGTATGGCTTGCTTTCTTCTGCAGAAACACAAGAAGATATTTTGAAAATCATTGGGAACCAAACAACATTGGACCCCTTTGACATTCACTGTATGGACAAACAACAACAAAACACTGAAACATTTCAGATATAAAGAAAAAGTCATAAAGGTTTGGAGCAACAAGAGGTGGAGCAGGGTTTCTGTAAATTTTGTGAAGGTAAATTTCCAACGGATCTCTGTTACTTTCCAATGATTTAAAAAAAAGTTAAACAGCTTAGCTAACAGCTTAAGGCTTGAATATCTCTGCTCCCAAACAGGAAATATGGAAATAACTTTTACTGTACCTTCTGATCACATTGCAAAAATGTGATGTTTTTCCTCAGTATTTTTGTCTTGATTTAATAATCTTAAATAAAGATACATTTACTTGAGAAGCAAAATGACACGATAAGAAGTCTTGTTTTCTGAGAAATTGATCAAAATGAAGTGAGTTTGTGATTAAAACAAATATCTGCCAATGGGCTCAGAAAAATCAACTTTATTGAAAGGGAAAACACGTTTTCTTTCCCCATTGACAGATACTTGTTCTTGTTTTAAGCATTTTGATCAATTTCTCCGAAAACTTCATATGTTCATTTTGCATCTCAAGTAAATGCAGGGGTTAAAGCAAAAAAAAAATCTTTTGACTGAATTTTTTTCCTCGGCCAAACCCCATTCCACAGCCATACCTGTCACATACCCAGTTTAAGAGCAGTTTTTTCTTCTTGTAATTAGGAGCTCTTGTCCCTCCTAATTAAAAAAATGTAGGAGCACCTTCTAATCAATAATAAAAAATTCTGATAAAAAATTAGCCTTCCTAATATGAGGTGACATTTGACTACTTAAAGTGACTTACAGGGTTTTTTATTTTTATTTTACCTTTGTAACGGCATCATTTTCATCTGTCAAATTAAAAAAAAAATTATGTTTATAAGCTTTTTAAAATTTCTGTTTAAAACAATATAATAAGAAGTAGAATAATGCCGGCAGAACAACAACAACAATGCGCTACTTGTTTCTTTTCCCCTCATTTTTTCCAATTGAAGGAAATCCGTCGTAGCGACGGAAAACTTTAATCCCTGTAAATGTATCTTGATTTAAGGATGTTAAGATATTTGTACAAAAATACTGAGCAAGTTAAACCTCTTAATTTTTTATTTATTTTTTTTATTAATTTTTTTTGTAGTGCAAGCAACATTTAATGCCATGGCTTCTGAATTTATGACTTTCAGCTCTGATTAGGACTTTTTTTTAGGCCTTAATTTGTAGAAGGGTGAATTGAGACTTTTTAAGACCTGCAGAAACCCTGGGGAGTAAAGGATGACAGAATTATTATTTTTTGCATGAACTAGCTTTAAATTTCTTTAAGGGGACATCGGATGCCCATTTTCCACAAGTTGGTATGATTCTTTAGGGTCTTTAAGAAATGTCTGCAACATACTTTGGTTAAAATTCCTCAATAGTCGTGTAAAACAACACCCTTTTTGTCAAAAACAGCTGTTCACAGAGACCAGCTTCGAAGGGATGAAGGATGTAGGAGTGTTTAGAAAGGCACTTCTGCATCATCTTAACGAGACGATCAAGGATCGTCGTACATTTTGTACGCTGGTTGACCCCCAAACATCTTTTACATTAAATACAATGTATATTTGTATATGTAATGTAATATGTATGTGTAATGTATATTGTTTCTATGTATTTGAAACATTTGAATGGACTAAAGGTAGCTGTAAAGTATTATTGTTGAAGTACAACGTAGTTTTGACCATAATAATGGGTAACACTTTATTTCGATAGTCCACTTTAGACATTCTATTAACAGTAAGTAACTTTGCAACTACATGTCATCTAGCAGTTAGTAGAGTATTAGTAGACTGTCTGCTTAATATCTTCTAACACTTTCTTTGTCAACTTATTCTACTAACCCTAAACCTACCCTAACAGTCTACTCTGAGAGTTAGTAGACATGTAGTTGCAAATTAATGAGAATTAGTTGACATGTAGTTACAAAGTTACTTATAGTTAATAGAATGTCTAAAGTGGACTATCAAAATAAAGTGTAACCTAATAATGTACCAAATCTAACTCATATAAATATTACAGTATAGTATAGAAAAATACTATACATAGGCCTACATTTATAGGTGAAGTCGAACTCCGTGACGCCAAACAACTTTCCTGTGCAAAGGATCATGGAGGAAATTCTTCATTCCGAAGGGCCCTTTTTAAGTGGCCAGTTTTGAGCACTTCGGTTTTGTAATGACCCTTCAATATGCCAGCCATGATTGTTTTCATTCCAAAGTGCCCTTCGGAGGGCGATAGGCCTATATCCCGTTTGGAATGCACCGACAATGTAGTTTTCAAATAGCCTAAGCCTGAAGGACTCGATTAGTTGGATAAGGTGTGTTTAATTAGGGTTGAATCTAAACTCTGCAGGGCTCCGGTGTTGTGTAATATTCAGTTCCCGTGAAAAACTGTTCCAGTGGGTGGAGTTACATGAATATTCATTAGTTCCCATATTGTGGGCATTTCCTTGAGACAACGCGCAAACAAATGGCGCCTCCAAGAATCGAGTTTGACACTTCTGTCCTAATTGGTAGTAGCAATAACAACAGAGCTCCTGGTAATCCACGTTTGCTTGTATCTGTGGCTCTGATACGTTGATTGCTGATAGGAACGTCTTCAATTGACAAAGTATTTTAAATACCTTTCCCATTTTTAGATTGCCAAGTATCGTAATACACATTAAGTCTGACAGTTAATTCTTATATTTTCAATTATTTTATTTTATTATCTTTATCCTGAAGCTTGAATTGATTGTTTACATTTAATATAGCAGTTTTACAGGGATCCGTAACACAAACATGGTTAAGCTGTTCAGTAAAAAAGCAAACAAGATCAGAAATGATTAAGAGGGATATAGGGACATCCTTTGAAATATTACTTAACACTTTTTACAGTGTATTGGCATGTTTGTAACATTAAATAGACTCTTAATTATTCATAATTTAATTTAAAATATATTTTTATTTACAAGTGTAACAATTTAAAATGCAACTGAAAGTAATTCAAAATGTATCTGAATTCTATTCAATATGTAACCCAATTTAATTATCTTCTCAGATTGTTTTAAAAGACTCCCAGCCTGTTGTTCTTGTGTTGCTGGGACAGCAGTGGGTGTCCATATTGTTGCAGCACTGTACCAGACAGCACATTATTCAGACCTGGGAATCAATGCAGTTCCTCCTGTACATAACTGCACTGAAATGGAGCAGAGCTGGCATAAACCTAGAACAATGGTAAGTGGTAAGTAAGAGAATTATCAAATAATTTAATGAATGACATAATTAATAAACTTTGATTAATAATATTAACATGCCCCATTGGTATGCCTAGAGAGTCAAGTCAGGTCCTGTCAGTTGAAACGGTGGTCCTGTTTGCAAGACTAAAAGAGAGGAAACTCACTGAGTGGTTAAGGTAAGAGTACTGTCTAATACTGTTCCATCATCTTTTCCTATCTTGCTATATTCATAATGTATAACATGCCTATATGATTAGCCATAGCAG